GGAAGCTATGTCTGCAGAACACGCAGCAGCAGAATGCAAGGCTGTTTTGCCCAGATTGTGACTGCATATGTGACTTTGATCCAAAAGCCAAGTGATCAATGCACTACTTTGGGTGACTGCCAGGAGGCAATAGTTGTCTTTGTTAGCTGTCGTGGTCATTCAGGGTTTTATTCTAAAAGCAATAGCCTAGTCAATCTTTCTCAAAACCACTGAATTATATTAAAAAATAGCATGGATATTTGCGTGTCTCTCTGCATATATATGTACAAAAAAGCCCTTATGTTTATATGTATATCAATTCTCTTGAGCAAATTATGAGAGTGTTGTACATATTATTACAGAAGACCAAAAGAAAGGAAGAAATATTTTGCTAGAACAACAGGTATGAGAGGGAGTGTCATGGTTTGAGCCTGGCACAGAGCCAGTGCCCCCAGGAAAATGCCCTCACCCTGGTGTCTGCTGTGAGATGTGACCAGGAATAAGCAAAACAGGCTCCAGCTTAAACATAAAGAACACTTTATTACCTAAACTACAGGAAAATAGGGAAAAACTATAAGGAAAAGGAAAAAAAAAATTAAAAACCTTACAAAAAACCACTTTCCTCCTCCCCACTACCTGAATTTCCCAATCCGATACATTCTCCCAAATCACCAACTGCCCAGTCTGGCACCACACTTGAGTATACTCAAACTTCAGTTCACGAAGAGGAGAGGAGTCCTTCTTGTTCCATAGGCTTCCCCTGGAAACACGCTGAAACCTCGTGTGCTTCCAATGTCACTCGGCACCGCCCGGAAAAGTCCTTTTGCTGCTTGTGACATCTTCCTTCCATGCCCAGTGCTCTCACCACCGTGCATGGACCAGAGCTGCTCTTAGGGTTGTCTTTTAAGGATGCCTTGTCTCACTCCAAAAAGGCACAGTCTCTGCTTTGGGACATCTGTCCCCCCCATATTTTTCCAACCCCCTGGGGCCGAGGGGTCCCCACGATGAACCCTCCTGGTTCTGAGGCACTGCCTCCCCCAAAGTGACTGCACTCTGTGTCACAGGAACAAACTGAGTCCATGGCCACAAGAAAAGTCCAGCCAAAAAGCCACTCCAAGCATCTCTCTCTTCACTCAGCCAGTCTTCTCTACGTCCTTCGGGCCAGGTCCTTGTTTCATCTTATCTCTTATCTCCCTTCTTAGTCAGCTCCGAGGAGGATCAGCATTCTTGCAAGGCCCCAATCATGAAAGAAAGGGGTTAAAAATTTCAGTCTCTGCCTGTCTCAGAATGACGATACTCCCACACGCGCTGCTGCTGCGGCCGGCCGGGCTGCACCCTTCTCCCCCCTTTCTCCTCCTGGGCCGGCTGCTATCACATTCCGTCTCGCCGACTCTCCCTCTCTCTCCCTCCTGGGGGGGGAAATGTCTGCCCGATGTCTCTTGGGGCTGCTCCTCCACCCTTCCATCCTTGAGGGCCTTCTCACCCCCATCTCTGTCCAGGCCCCGGGCCTACCGCATGGCTGCCCCTCCCCCGCCCAGCAGCAGCGGCTGGACAGGGGAGGGAGATCTGACCTCTTCTCCTCGACGTCCCAAGAGAGCTTCCCAGGGCCGAAGCTCTGCTTTTTAACCCCTGTGTATTCTCGGAGGTGTGTCCAAACCCCACTGGCTACACCAGGTGTCAGTATCAAACTCCGAACATCCATTGGTTTGACCACAGCATCCCAGAATTCCCACTTCTTCCTGGTCAAACCACCACAGGGAGGCACAGACAGGTGTTTAGTCCAGTTATTCCTTCCAGATTAAAGTTATGGGTTTTTTCTGAATGCTAATCTGTGCACTTACACTACCAGAATGTGTTACTTGAAAGGTGCTGTCAATTTAATTTCATTATTTTCTCTAGCTGTGACTAGCTCTTAATGTCAAACATTTAGTATTCCTTCCTGTGGTCAGCACTATTGTGGAAATGTAAGGAGCAAGACTAAGCAAAACTATATAAAAGTTAACCTGTAATAGGAAATTAGTTTTCACTCTTTTATAGTTTTCTTTATGCACTGTAAGTTTTTGCTGAGAATTGGTCCATAATAACACGCACCTTCCCTATAGTGGACCTATGTGTGCTCTAGCTTTAACTTAAGGGACAGCTATAAAAACTGTTCTGAAAAGGCTGTGTTAGCTATGATACGCTGTTTAGATTGTTCCTGAAATGCACCTGTTACTGTGCATAACAAATGGTGAGATTTTATTGTGTTTAGTCCTGTTAGCTGAACCAGTCTTGAACTGACTTGTTTACTCTAAGAACACTCCAACTTGGTACTCCAACAGCTTCCAAGGTAAATGGGTTGCAGCTACATGAGTGAGTAAAAGCTCATGTGGTTATTTCTGTGCTAGAGCACATAAGGGGCAAAAAATGTCATTTTGACATTTTTGTGTTATTGAACAGATTATGAAGTAAACCATATTAAAGAAAGATGACACTTGTTAAACTACATTTTAGTATTTGCTTTAGGTAAAGCACACTCTTGATATGGGAGATTTGGAATGACATGGTAGCTAGGAGAAGGAGGATTCTCATACCCAGAAATGCAAAGAATTGTTTCCAGTAAGGCTATTCCACAAAAATGCTGAAGCTGTTGCTGTATTTAGAGAAAAAAAAAATATTTCCTGTGAACTGAATCTGAAATATATGAGATGTCTTCTTTATCTAAAAGGGACTGTTTCATTTGAGTCATGTTGGTGCTAGTTCTGTTAAACATTTCCTTAATCAGCCTTTTGGGAAACTTGTCTTTGAGCATGTTTATATTCAGCAAGTTGCTGAAGTCTGTAGTTGCATTTGGGAAGTTGGGTAATTTACTGCTTTCGTGACAGCCTAGTTGCCGAGCAAATGGTTTACAGTGATTTATTAGTTAGAGCAGAGGAATTGGCTTGGGCAGGAGAACTACAAAATGGTCAATCTGTTTTCATAACCTCACTTCTCAAACAATGATACATGGGCAATATTGTTAAAACTATGAATGGTAGGTAGAGCTATTTTGCACAGTACCAGGTTAGCTCTGTTAAATCTTGTGATACTGGATTGAGAATAATTCAGAAGTCATTCTGGGGACTGGGGAAGGAAGTGAGAGTACATATGATGGTTATACAGGCAGTTTGTTACTGGCAAAGCTTGAAATGTCTTTGCATTGGGTTGTGCCTGGCCAGTAACTAAGCATGCGCCAGATCACTCCTAGCTGCTCACTCACTGTCTTTTCTTCTTCGAGTGGGATCAGGGGAGAGAACTAGGAGAACAAAAGTGAGAAAAACTTAGACTGTAACAAAGACAGTTTAAAAATTAAGGAAATAAATTAAATGAACAAGTGATGCAAAGTCAGTGACACACCATCTCCCGCCAGTAGACCGAGCCGGCCCCCATGCAGCAGCTGTAAAGGAAAGATTAAATGCACAGGTTTTATTGCTAAGCACAACATTCTATGGCAAGAAATAATCATTTGATGAATTCTGGTCAACTGTTCCATCTCTGTCCACTTCACGCATCTTTCTCAGCCCTAGCCTAACTGCTGAGGGTGCAGAGTGAAAAACAGAAAAGGCCTTGATTGCACTCCCTGCTCAGCAAGAGCTGAAACACTGGAATGCTACTGACATGCTTTGGTCACAGATACAGGGAGCAAAACCATAACAGCTGCTAGGAAGAGTCCTAGCTGGATCCACTACAATCTTTCAGTGTCTAAGAGAATAAAAATACGTTAAAGTAATTTTTAAACAATTCTATCAGGTTGGGGAAATTTGGGGTACTGAGAAGATGGCATTTGAGTATGGAAAGGATCATGTTCTGATTATACTCATGGCACAAAAAGATACAGTCAAGATACAGTCTTTGCTCCTTGAGAATACTCATTCTGTTCCAGTCCATTGTGTATGAGCAATACAGGTACTATTTTTCTGTGCAATTGTGGACTTGAAGAATTGTATAAAATATCTGTTGTCTGATGTAATAGGTCTTATTTGTTTTTACTTTATTTTTCAGTTGAGTGAAGACTTTCAAATTTTCAATATGGCAGGGTCACAGATTATTTTTTCCAGTACCTATGATATTTCAGATGAAGAGAAGGAAACAATGAATATAAGGCTTAAGTCTCACCTTTATTTGTCAGCTGAAGTGACTTAAAAATGGTTTTATACAGTTTGCCTGTTAAGGAACACATTAGGATGGTTAACTTAAATATATCTGTGAAATGCAGCCCTGTAATATTCCACTGTGCATTACTATTAACCCTTCTATGTGTTTGCATCAACCACTACAACTAAGTGAGAAAGTAGGAGTTGGTTCTTAAAGTCCACTTTTTATTTAGTTAGCTGTGGCAAATGCTTGCTCCATGCCTGCAATGTGTAGTTAAATCTGAACTTCATCACCTTCATCTATTATCGGTTTAAATAACTGAAAGCTACAGTTTCAATAAATTAAATATTTCAACTCTCAGACATTTATATAGCAGATTTTAGTGTCCACTAATGAGAGTGTGAGTAAAAGTTGAATATCCACAAGCTTTTTTCCAAATTATGCACATCTGAAAATATTAGGTTTCCTGGGTAGCCATAGTAAGGATAACTAGGGCTGAATGCCTAGACATCTGTAGCCATAAGTAGCTTAGAGTAATGGTAAATAGAAGTGGCTTTGTGTCTTGCTTGGCTTTTTGTCTTCTCATTACTGGAAGGCTATCCCCAGGAGTTGTCATAGCAGCTGTGTTTCTCATCTAAACAGCATTGTACCAGGGTGCATACAAGTTTTGCCATTGACTATCAGTCCTGTTAATGGAGTGCTTAGGGAGGCTGACCAGTATTAGTATATGTATACTTTTGGGGCTTTTTGTTTGTTTGCTTGTGAGGCTTTTTACTAGTTACTGAAATATATTTGTCCTAGATAGGAAAGTTGGATTTTTTTTTTTGTGTTTTATTGTAGCCCATTCAAGCCTGCTCCTTGGATTGATTATGAAAAGAGTAATTTTTTTAATTATTTTTGCCTTGTAGGTTAATCTCCGAGCCACTGATGTGAAGCTTATGCGCCAGCTCCTACTCATCAATGAAAGTATTGAATCAATCAAGTGGATGATTGAAGAGAAAGCCATAGCCAGCAGAGGCAGCAGTTTGAGTGGAAGCCTATGCAGCTTGCTAGAAAGTCAGGAGACATCGCTCCATGGCAGCTGTAACAGTTTGCAAGACTGTAGTGATGGACTGGATGGAATATCAGTGGGGAGTTACTTGGACACCTTAGTGGATGATGTTCCTGGTCACCAAACCCCTTCAGATCTGGACAAATTCAGTGATTCTTCTGTCACGGAGGACTCACAGTCTCTGCATAAGCATCCAAAAATTGATTCTGATGAGTACTACTGTTTTGGTTAATAAGAACAAGTTCCAGTGGGACACAAATGCACTTGTACTTACCCTTTTTCTTTGCTGCTATTTTATTTCATGTGCAAAAGCCCCAAAGTCCTCTTGGAAGGAGAATATAGTATGATACTTCAATTCTATTGCTTAACTTTTCTATTGCTTCTAATGCATTTTTTCCTTGATGGATTGGGTTTGTCTCATCCTCCTCCTTCTCACATTTTCTTAATTTATTGTCACAATTATTTTTGCTTTAATTTTTTACAGTGCTATATTTACAAGTCTGTAAAACTGGTCAAGGAAAAGCTTTATGTTTAAAATTAAACATCAGAGAATGAGTAAACAATGATTAACAATTTTGTATTTCTTGTTAATAAAACATCATCTGAAAAATATATGTTGTCATAAAGTTTCTCGACTACCGTGTCTGGTCTTTCCAAAGACACTGTTTTTATTAAGCCTTAAATCTGAATCTTGAAAATACCTTACAAAATAGTTTTCCTTTTCTAAGCAGTGAAATCTGGTTCTTATAAGCTGTAAAGTCTTCCTTTGAAATATAAAGTATTCTAAACTTTTCAGTAGGGGTTTCTTTTATTTTGCTATGTTCTCTTGTCTCTTGTCTAATTGTTTTTTTTTTTTTTTTTTTTAATTCAGCAGTGTTACTCTGCTGCCTTTTCCTTTCCTGTTTTACAAGTAAGAGTTTGCCTTAACTTTTTTGTGCCTACTAGTGCAGTAGAGAGCTGCAGTTAATCAGTTGTATTGGAAGTACCTCAGAAGTAAAACAGTAAAGATTAGGAGGTAGATTTTGCTTTTAAGTGCTTCAGAATCATAACAAATCCCCCCAAGAATTTATCCTTCTATGATAAGAAGAAAATTAGAGTAAAAGAACTAAAATTGAACAAGACACTCTAACAGATGATGAATTTATATTTCCAGCATAAGAAACGGCAAAAGAGGTATTGATACTTACACATCATTTTAAAGTGTTCTGTTTCACCAAGTTTGACAGTATTCCTATTGCCAGTGAAGGCATGAATTCCCTCACTAAAGTTGTGTTTAATAAGTGTAAGGCAGGCTCCCATTTAAAAATGCTTGTACAGATTCTGAAGGAATACAAGTACATGCAGCCTTTGATGTATGTGGATTTGGTTAATTCTGAGGTAGTCCAATAAGGTTCTGTTCATCCAAGCCATGATTCCAGGGGTCCATCTTGTCCAGTCTTGAGCAACATCAAGTGTAAAGAAAAGGTAAAAAAAATCAAGAAATTGATAGTGGTAATTTGTGCTCTGTGACCAATTCCATAATTTCTCAGTACAGGAGATGTCTGTGTCTCTCAGAATTAAAAAACAAGATGTATCCTTTGCTTTGGTCATCATGATAAAGAACTTGGCAAAAAGTTCTTCCCAGGATGATGTTAAGTAGAATATTGACTGGGAATTCAAAATAAATTGTATTATTTTCAGTTATTCTAATCTAGGGAACAGAACTAAACAAAGCTCCCTGATATAAAACTGACTCTCTTGAAAGTTTTTCTACCTTTTTTGCTTGGCATGGAAGTTGAACATAGGAAGTGTACACTCTCTAAATGAAATGTGAATGTGCAATATACAGTCTTTTCTTCTCCAACTGAGATTTTGGGCAGTAGGCCAACAAGTACATAAATTTTTTTCACTATGAAGAAAAAGAATATTCTTAACATAGCTTCTCAAATATCAAACTATGCTGAAATTATTTGAAGAAATATGCAGACTGTATGTGTCATCTACTCACTCCCAACTGTAACACTGGATAAAGAGTAATTTAATCAGTGATAGATTTATCACATTGTGATTTCAAAGTTCATATAATAGGAATCCAAGATAGGGAAACAAAAACCCTACAGGTCGAAGCAGTAAAGCAAGAGCTGTATGTGATTAGAAGCTTTTATTCCTCTGTATCTCTTGACTGGAAGTGGGGAGAGAGTACAAGTGCCAAAACAAAGATGTCAGAAGACTGCTAGAAGGAAACAAGTGTTTTCAGGTGTTGTGTTTCTGATATCCAAGAACATGAACACCTTAGTTGTGATTTTTGAAACATAAAAGCTTCAAAGATTTAGAGCGACTTGTATTTTTTAATGGGAATTAACAGGGTTTCATAATCAAAAGATAATGATATACTCTGGGCTTGCCGTCTGAAGAGAGACCATGAAATTTGAACATCTAAAATTAATCAAATAACTTTGAAGTGAACTGCAACTTGACTGTTTAGACATTGAAAAATCCAATGTTCATTAAACAACTATTTCTACTGGCTTGTTAACTTTGTTTTTAAATAGTTTACATTTATTTTCCAGCTTCCTCTATACTTGGCTGACCTTGGTCTTGCAAAGTCCTTGTGTGGCATCTGGGACTCTGGATGCCCTCTTCCAGCATGACTTCCTTTTAACTTTTGATCTATTTACAGAACTAAAAACATTAAATGATTGAGTAGAATAAGGAAAAGTATCTGAAAGCACAAAGCTATATCTGTTTCAAATGCATAAAAGCATTAGAATTTTTTAAAAAATTAAAAGTATGGATAAATACTGAATTTTATTGATTTATTCTGTGTCATTTTTTATCACCTTAGTTCTTTTGAGACTTAGCTTGCTTTCAGGAATGATAAACAATTTCAAGACACTTTGTAAAATCAACATATGATGAGCAACACTCAGTCCATTCCTGTTTCTATACCTCTGACTGAAGTTTTGTCTTTTAAAGACATTCTGCTGTGTAAGCTGTGTAATTCAGAGACAATAAGGGATACTCATAAGGTAAATTTAGTATGCTTTCTGTTTTAGGATGCTTATTACCTACTAATGGGAACCAGCTAGTAAATGGATGTGCTCTGGTCCACAAAACGCTATTGAAGGAAGGGAGAAAAAACCTAACATTTTCACATCTGAAAACTGGGACTTTGAAGATTCTGCCAAGCCGGTCTTGTGATGACATTTTGAGTCACTTTCAAAAGACCAATTAAAATTCCTTGAAATCTCTCTGCTAGCTGCCAAGTCTAGTATTGATCGCAAGGTTGCATTGGCTCATGAAGAACCAAGCAGGAGCCCTTGAATCATCCATCAGGAGGCCAGAGACATTACACTAGGAGACCAAAGACAATAAAGTATCTCTGCCTTAGGAAGGTGAACTACCATTGTCCTATAATAGAAACAAGATTCTTAGAAAATACAGAAATTTGGTGTATCTTCTTAAAGCAAACCCTGACTTTTGAAGGGAATAGTAAAAGGCTGGAAGTGCTGTTGAATCATTTGAAGTGTAAAAAATCTTTCTCTATTTCTCTTTGAAAAGGAGAACTGGTTAGTCAAGGTGGGTGAAGTTTGAAATAATGTCTGGTAGCTGCATCTCATGTAATCCTATGTAATCAACTGAGAAACTGTGGAGGTTTTGTTTAATAATCTTAAGCAGTTACTAAGCTGTCAAAAAACCTTGTGCTAGTATTTTTAATCTTGCCAACACTTCTGAACCAAGGCTAAAAGATGTGTCTTTGATATAAAGAATTAGTGTATACCAAATAAACATGAGATCAGTAGAAAGCATCAATCACCTTACAGCAAAGGAGGCTTTGTTTTGCTTAAATGCACTTACAGCAAGTTTGTCTTTCTCAGAATACCTATGAATTTACTATAGAAACAGTTTAAGGGCATCCTACCCTGAAACAAACAGAAGCTTTTCCCTTACATAAATTAAAAAGAGATTAATGCTGCCTGCACTTGATCTTCCCATTGGCCAGAGATTAAATTTCCCTACTAAATATGTCTGGAGTGAAGATAAAACAATTTCTTTCCCCCCATCATGGAATTTTCTATGCTGTGGCATACCACCGGTTAGGTAAGCAATTTTTATGAAGTCCTTTTAAAAGCCTGCTCTTGCAGCATACATGTCTGGTCTTCCAAACTGATATTTCCTTATGATCTTTCTTTGTTATGTTAGCTGGATCTCAAAAGAAGGATGTTTGATATGTCTTTTGGTTACTGTTAGGGAACCACATGATAAAAATACCTAGTAATGTTACCAGTAACAAAATTTTTAAATAGGGAAGGAAGTGTTATTCTTGCTTTGTAGATGGGTTTTTTTCTTGTCTTTCTCCTTT